GTGGCTCACCAGGACCTAGATGCTTTGAGGGGCCATGCCCAGGCTCTCTCAGTGACCTTAGATTTCCACCTCCAACCTCATCTCTGCCCTTCACCTCCTGTTATGGCTTGAGCTCCTCTCCCCTCCTGCCTTCACATCTCTCTTTATCTGAAAGGACCCCCACCAGGGCTTCCGAGTCTGACTGAAGTAAGTAAGATGGTGTCCATTTCCAGCTCTGCCACTTACTAACTGTGGGACCCTTGTCAGGTGTTTAATCAGAATAGAACTTAGTTTCCTCTTTAAGATGGGGTCAATAGTAGATTGAGCCATATGCATTTGGCATTTTAGCATATCAATACCAGTCCAATACTGATAATTTCATGTATGTCAGCCTAACAATGCCTTCTTCAAGGACTGTGGTGTGGGTTAATGGACAATAAGATGTCATGTGCCCAGCATGAGCCCAGAGTTCAGTCAAACTTGACATCCCTTCTGCCCTGACTCCCAAAGAGGTGTGGGCTCTCCAAAGTGAAGTAGTTACCACTCCACCCTCACCTTGCAGTCTCTGCTCTTAACCTGGGCCCTGTACCCCTTCTCTTCCTGCCCCTGCCAATTCCTACCCTTCTCCTCTGCTCCAAAATGCTCATGTTGCCCCTACCCCAAGGTGGCCTTTTTAGTTCTCTGGAGCATCACCCCTGTAGTCTGTGGGGCCAAACTCAGAACAGAGTGACCCCTCCATGCTTGTTGCTCCACTCCTTCCCACTGCCTTGGCACCCCTCAGCTCTCCAGCAGACTTCAAGTTCACCTTCAGTTGGGGCAGCATGAGAGCAGGCAGCTGTCATGAGTCTGTCCCCAGACTGATCACTGGCTGTGATGGGGTTACTTCTTAGCTAAGAGATGGCTGTGGTGGGCATGTGGCAGAAAGAAGAATGCTGTCTCAGAGAGCCTGGGCAGCAGGTAAGGGAGGGCAAGAGTGGGCCACTGAGGGGCAGGTGATCTCCAAGCAGGGTACTTGGAGAGGAATTTAAGGTTGTGATTGTTGACTGCCCCTGGGCTCCAGTGGGGCTGACTAAGAGACTTTGGGGCCACCACTGGACCCAGGTAGACTCAGAGGCCTGAAGATGTTTCACTGGTCAGTTCATCATGGTGGGAAAGAGTTTTCCAAGGGTAGAGTTAGTGGGCAGTGGGATCAGGGGAGGGAAGGATGCTGAGGTTTGACAAGCACTTGCTATGTGCAAAGACCTGGTGCAAAACTTCTAGGATGTGGCAAAAAAAGCTCCCTGAAGAAGGCCTGGCCTGTCAAATGCTAGTGTCCTTGTCAGATTAAGTCATTTGCCAAAAGAACCAACATGGGAGGTGGAGCCTGAAAGGGCCTCAGAGAGGGGGATCTCTGGGGATCCCTGCACTCCTATAAGTCCTCCTGTCCCTACTTCAGTGTGTGTTAAATGGAGGAAATAATCTTCTGGACCACGAAGGAATTAGACCACCCCATAAAATATGTGTTATCCCTCCTTTGTATAGCTGAGCAAACAGAGACCCAGAAAGGCCAATCACTCTCCTCAAACCTGCTGATGACAGGTGGCAGAGCAGGGACAAAAACCCAGGACAAGCACTTAGCCTGCTGTTTCCCTGGTTTGCTATCCCAAGAACCAGTGGCTCCATCTGTGTGACAGAGGACCTGTTCTTGACCCCAGTGGCCACCAGACCACCTGAGAGTCAATCCCATAGTTGATTCTTGGGTAAAAAGCCCATCTTGCTGAAAGGTGACCCCTCCTTGCCATCACATGATCTCACACCAACCAGTCCTAACTTAAATTCAACTCCTAACTGGTGGAGTTGTGACTGGGTTATGACAACTTCTCACTAGCCCCATAGGGAATCTGGTCCAGCTCCTCCTCTACCTGGTTCTATTCAGAAGCACACCCTGGCCCCCAGGTTCCACATCCCTAGGCCCTGCCCCCAGCACACTCCCCAAAAGGAATCCAGCTCTGCTGCTGGCCTGAAGCTCAGGTATTTGAATTACTGCAGCTATGACCCTGGGCTTCACTACTGGAAACCCTCAGTCCCTGTCCACGAGGGGCTTTCTGGGGTGGGATAGGGTTGTACTGTCCTCTCTTGGTCAGCCCTTCCCAGCTCTGAGAAAAACTCAGGGGCAACTGGCATTCTGCCTTTTCCTTGTCTCCAACAATACTTCCTGCACTACTTGCTCTTCCAGCACCTGGGTTTCCCTCCAATGGCCTGTTCCAGAAGCCTGTTCACAAAAGCCACTAGAAAGGGCTGAGTTTGGGGTCAGATATCTATGTGGTCTAGGCAACAGTGGTTGGTGTGGGGAGTCTTGACCCACTTTTGACATCCTTGTGCTTAGCTACCCATAATATTTTCAAGAGGGGGCCTGCCAGCTAGGCTAATTTGGTGTTGCCTTCTTCAGTGTTCGGCCTGCTCCTCGCTTGACCCTCTCACTCAATCAATTCTCTGCACCCAAGTGACCTTTCAGGATTGGGATTTGAGTCTGCTGGCTGCTTTCCTGCTCCAACCCCTGCACTCCAGGCCCTCCTTGCCAGCCTGGCCCGGCGCTCTAGCTTTATCCTCTGCAACTCCCATCTTCCTACTCTGGGCTCCTGTGATTCTGAACTATTTGCTGTTCCCTAGGAGGCTCTGTGCTTTTCTGCCTTCTTGTCTTTGCATATCCTGTTTCTTACCCTTGAATTCCCTCCTCTACATTGTTCTCAACCTCAAAGCCCTGGACCAATGTCACCACCTCTCTGAAGCTGTCTGCAGCGCAGGTGGTTATTCCCCACTTCTGTCCCCACACAGTCCACTCCCATTGGTTGTGGCAATGGCAATGTAGCCTGAGGTTTATCTGCTTTTTTGGGGGTCAGTCCTCCTGGCCTGCGGAGGGCCATGTCTGTATAAATTATCTCTGCAAGCCTTGTCTCTGGCACAGGGCTTGGCACAAATTTGTTGAGCCAATGAAATAGTACTTTCTGGAGCCCTCCCCGACCAGTAACTCTGCTCTAATCACACTGAGGTTGGCCAGATGGAATTGCTGGTGTTGCTTCATGCTATTGACTTAGCCACGGCCCATGGTCAAAACCAGAGCCCAGGGCCTCTCTCGCATTGGCTGCTCTAAGCACAGTTCATCCACCACAATGTCATATCGTGCAGCTGTGTCTGGCTTTGACTCAAAGATTGGACTTACTTTTGGCCCTGTTATATTTCATTTGGCATGTTCGGCCCTAATTATCTTTTTTTCCCAGGAGATTGTGGTGTCAGTAGATCCCCTTACTTGTGAGATCTAGTAGCCCAAAAAGCCAGACTATAAACTATCAGGTGAATTCAAGACTTTACCTTGTAAATGGGTACATGAGATTGATCTTTGTTAGTCAGATCAAATGCATGGTGAGTGACATTTATGATAAATCTAATAAAACTAGATTTTACTGATCTCTGGTTAATTTTGGTCCTACAGTTTAGAAACTGCCTCTAATTTAGCATTTGTGCACAAATAAGATATATATGTTCAAAAATAGATGTGATGGTTGTACTGGACTTAAAGAATGTCTCAAATAGTGTGTTCCCTAATGAACAGTGTTTCTCAAAGCAAGGCCCAAGGAACACATGCATCAGAGTCACTTATTAAGGCACAGCTTCCTGGGCCAGTCCTGGCTCACTGAACTGCATGTTAGTGAGGACCCTGGAATCTGCACTTCCAGTGTGCTCCCAGAATTATTCTGATGTTTACTGATGGTTGATAACTGCACTCCCATAGGATTAGTGATGACTACTGAGCCTATGAAGAAGGAGATCACTTTATGTATATAATAATAGGGTGGCCACCAGTGCAAAATAGTTGCCATTGGCATGATCTGGAGGCTTTGGGTTCCAAATCTCAGTCCTGTCTTTTCAGAGGGCCCCTGTACTTAGGAGGTTCTGGGGTGAAGGGATGGCTGTTGCCCAGGTGGTAGGTATGAAACTGTCTGGGGTGTTTAGGAGCTGCAAGCTGAGCAGAAACATGAAGTGGGGACCAGAGCAGGTGAGGTGGGTGTTCCAGTGACCTTGGACGGTGTGTTTGTCCACAGTTGGCAGAAAGAGAGAGCTGGTGTGCTGGGGGCCTGGTCTTTGTAAGCCTGGCATTCTTCAGCTTGGCCATGTGTCTCCTGGGAAACAAGGGCACCAGGATGGTAAGAGCAAAAATAGGAGAGGGGCCCTGTGTGCTATGCCTTGGAATTTATCCTAAAGAGCATGAGGTGCCCTGGAGGACTTAAGTGGTGACTGTACACAGAGGCAGGTTTATTCTTTGTCCATTTAAATAAAACATGATCTGAAGATTTCTACCCATACTTCCAGAACAGTTCTGTCCCTGAGCTTGGCTTGAGACAACCCGACTTCTTTATCATGCAAATTGGATCCAACTCATAGCGACCCCTCCTTGGGTTTCTGAGGAAGTATCACTACGGAAGTAGATTGGCCAACCTTCCTTCAGAGGAGTGGCTGGTGGGTTTGAGCCACCAGCCTTTTGGTTAGCAATCAAATGCTGTAGGCACTACGCCACCAGACCTCCTTTGAAGCCCTAGGTCAATGGGGAATTGTGGAATGGTTTGTGCTATCAGACAAACCTGGGTTTGTATCTGGGCCTCATTACTTACTAATTGTTTGACTATTGACAAGTTGCTTCACATCTCTGAATCTTTTATAACATGTTGGTAATTCATGCCTCTCAGAATAAATCAATTAACATATGCAAAGCCCTAACCAGGGTCCCTGGCATGGAACAAGTGCTTGCTACAGAATAGCAATTATTAAATGCCATTCCCTTATTTTGAGCCTTGCGTAACAAGTCACCCAGGCACCCAGCCTTGGGCTGGAGGCAGCCACAAAACTCTCAGCCTGGCCCAAGCTTCCCTCTGTATCCCAGTCTATAGCCATAATCCCTGAGTCACAGTTACCTGTCTGCATTGCAGGTGATATCACTGAGGCTTCTGCCTTAGATCAAGAGCTCCTGGAATCTTCTCACCTTCGCCATGAACATATCAAACTCCCTGGCCTCGCTGCTTCCATTATCCCCATGGGATCAAAACAGGATCAACCCTACAGGTATCCCATACAACTTCTCTGAGCACTGTCAGGACTCCATGGACCTGATGATTTTCATCATTGCTTCCTACAGCATCGAGACCGTTGTGGGCATCCTGGGCAACCTCTGCCTGATCTGTGTGACCATCAGGCAGAAAGAGAAGGCCAATGTGACAAACTTGCTCATCGCCAACTTAGCCTTCTCTGACTTCCTTATGTGCCTCATCTGCCAGCCGCTTACTGCCATCTACACCCTAATGGACTATTGGGTCTTTGGTGAGGCCCTGTGCAAGATGTCAGCCTTCATCCAGTGCATGTCAGTGACAGTCTCCATCCTTTCACTTGTCCTTGTGGCCCTGGAGAGGCATCAGCTAATCATTAACCCTACAAGCTGGAAGCCCAGTGTGTCCCAGGCCTACCTGGGTATAGGGGTCATCTGGCTCATTGCTGGCTTCCTGTCATTGCCCTTCCTGGTCCACAGTGTCCTGGAGAATGTCTTCCATAGGAACCACTCCAGGGCCCTGGAATTCCTGGCAGATAAGGTGGTCTGTACTGAGTTGTGGCCACTGGACCAGCACCGTATTGTCTATACTACTTGCCTGCTGCTCTTCCAGTACTGTGTCCCACTGGCCTTCATTCTGGTCTGCTACATGCGCATCTACCAGCGCCTGTGGAGGCAGAGGCATGTGTTCGGCAAGGGCACTGACCGCTTACGTGCCAGGCAGATGAGGCGGGTCAATAGAATGCTGGTGGCTATGGTAGCCACCTTTGCTGTGCTCTGGCTGCCCTTGCATGTGTTCAACAGTCTGGAGGACTGGTACCATGAAGCCATCCCCATCTGCCATGGTAATCTCATCTTCCTGGTGTGCCACCTGCTCGCCATGGCCTCTGCTTGTGTCAACCCTTTTATCTATGGTTTCCTCAATACCAATTTCAAGCAGGATGTCAAGGCTTTGGTGCTAACTTGCAAGCAGAGTGCACCTGTGGAAGAATGCCAGCACCTGCCCCTGTCCACGATGTACACAGAAGTCTCTAGAGGATCTTTGAGGTTCAGTGGTGGGTCCAATCCCATCTAGTCAGGTCCTGTACTCTCCCTACCCTGGTCATTACCAGGTGGCTTCATTTAGCTGAGTAGGCATGGTGCAAACTGGGGTAGCACCACATCATTACTGGCTTTCTAAGGCCCAGATAAGGCTGGTATGGGCTTGTTTTTCATCTGTTGGCAGTGTGAAAGTTGACCTTCAGATAATACTCATGGGTTCCTGAAGTCATTCTGTATCTAGACTTTTTAGGTCACCATGTGCCTCACAGCTCAAGCCAATGCCCAGCCTGAGATGGTCTGCTTGTATCAGGCAGGGATCATTCTGGTAATTTAGCACCTGATCCTACCTGGGAACCCTAAGACAGAGCCTCAACCAATGAGACTGTGAAGCCATTGTGGGCAGGGCAAAGAGCACTTGGAATCAGTGCTCTGTACCATGGTCAGCCTTTGGTATAAAATAGGGATAATGCTTTTCCCTCCCAGGCTGCCACAGGCTTTAGTGATGATGTTTGTGGATATGCTTTATGAGGCTTTATGAGCAGTAGAGAATGTAGTTGCCAGTCAGTGGGATCGTTGTCATATCATTAGCATAGGCAGCTGATAAGAAAAGATCTAGGAGTCTTGGTCCTTTTTCCCCTCTGCAATAAGGCACTCTACTTGGATAGCAGGAATTCATCCTTTTCATCTTTCACTGTATCTGCCACCTCCTATTCAAATAAGCCTGTCTCCAGTGTCTCTTCTTGGTGAGGTGGTAAGAACCTGGAGGGGTACAGCTGTACTCTCACTTAGATTGTATCCTCTATGCTTAGGATATACCCTGGCACACTGAAGGAAAAATTGCTCTGCTGAGTCATGGTCCAGTCATGGGAAGGACTCAGGCTGGTGTCTCAACATTCTTTCACTTGTCCTACTTTGCCCCTACAACCTCTCTTGACAAGGTGGCCGGCCAGGGTTGTAGACCTCCCCTGTGTTGACCCATTGCAGAAGTCCACAACTCTCAAGCCTATGACACAGCCTGTTTCATGTAATGCTCTGACCACTGGATTAAATCATCCCAGGTGATGCACTTAGTTCTTCCAAAGCCTCTTATGACTTTGAGAATCCCAGTGGTCTGCAGTAGAAGCAGGAGCAGGGACTCTGTGAAGTCTGGCTCAAGGGGGCAGTGAGAAAAAAGGAGCAAGGGCCCACCTTCTTCCAGCCAGCCAGAGAAAATGGAGAAAAGGATATAGTGAGGCTGTATTCATGCATGTGGTTCATTGTTCAGTCTTCTGGATGTTTCTGGATGCTGAGCCATATCCAAGACTCCATATGTGTGTAGGCTGTAACTTTTCTTAAATGAAAGGACATGTTAAGATTTTTTTCTGGCTGTCTTTGATGGGATGTCAGACCTGGCCTTGCTGCTCAGATGCATGCTCCAGCAATGGACAGAACTGGATCCTCCATGGTCTCTCAGAGATGGGTATTCAGGTTCTCAGAAGCCTGGAGAGGCCTTACTAGGCTCCTAGGAAGTGGTTCTACAGAAGGCATCTGGCAAAGATCCAGGCAGCAAGACATTTGACTTTCACATCTGACCATCTCTCTGGCCTTGGACTACTGGCAAAGAACCTGTGCAACCAACACCCAAAATGAGTGGTCTGTGAACACCAGTTTTCTTCCTGGGGGACTGTTATCTTGTTTTAGCCTTTGGCCATATCTCCCATTCTGTTCCTTTGTTTAGTTTGCCCTTGCATTTTGGACAGATACGTTGACCATTTATAGGACACAGCTTGCACTGGTCCTCTGGTACTCTCTGCTATGTTTCGCTCCAAGTAACCATCTGCCTAGGAAAGCCCAGGCCCTGGGATCACTCTCTGCAAGATATCATTGGCAAGTAATTTGGAGTTCAGGCCCCTCCAGATCCTATGGCTGTTGCCTGGAGTTTGTTTCTTATTACCAATCTCAGTGCTGCTGAGATGCTTGAGGACAAAGATGCTTTAGAGTACTGGCATCCTTTAGGACAAGGGATACCAGGCTGGACATTTCTGAAGGTGGTTGGCATTAGGAATTGGGGAGGTTGGTAGAGCTTCACTGAGTGTCTTTTGCGCTCCTGGCTTAGGTTGACATATCTTACCTGGGTTTCCCATTCCTACTCTTGTTTCCCATTCCTGATGACTCTTGTTGTTCCTTGGTTACACAGCTTCCTAGGAACATGCTTACCTAAGTGTGACTTGGGTAAGAGTAGCAGGGAGTGTCGGAATCACGTGGGAAGTTTCGAGATGGGCAGCATCTCTGTGCCCACCCCAGGCTATTGAATCTGAATCTACATTCTCAAGGTCTTCAAGTGAATTGTATGCACTCAGCTTGAGAAGCTGCTCACTAGGAAACAAATTTCCCTGGAACCTTAGAGGCACAATGTAAATAAACATCTGTGGGTACCCATACTAGGACCAGGAGTATAAAGCTTCAGAGATCCTAGCTTTGGAGGTACTTCCTTAACATTGTTAATGCTGAAAGATGGACTCAATTTTGATTGTTAGTGCCTCCTCTATGGCCACAAATGGACATATTTCTGGTGAAGAATTTTTGTTCCTTCAATAAGTATTTGCCAAATGAAACTTTGCATAGTTACATTCATAGTGAAAATACTCTTTGTATTCTGCTTTATTTCACTGAAAATTCCATCATCAATAGAGTTTCATCTTGCTGGATACCACTTTTGGCAGCTGTTTGAAGTTTAGAAAACACTCCAGTGAAAGCCTGCATCTTTTTGGGACATCATCTCTTTAGCTCCCAGGGAGGACCTTCTCTCTCCTAGCAAGTGGACCCTCCACCCAGCTGTAGTGGGAGGTACCTGTTTTCCAGAAGGTACCACCATAGGGATTTGAGATCCATACCCACAAAGACCAGCTCAGCACCCTTAGAATGTGTAGAACCTTATTAAATACTGGCAGTGAGAGCTTAAATCTTGCCTAATTCTAGCCATTGCTTTTCAAGAAATAAGATTACCTCATTTTTTTTTCTTTTATAAAAGTAATCTTGTTTATTCTTGAAAATATGCAAAATATACAAAAAGATAATAAAAAGAAATCATCAATAGTTCTACCACCCAAAGGTAATCACTGTTTACATTTTGGGAAATTATTTCTTTAATTTTTCTATGAATAGTATTAGTTTTTTTGTTTTTCAAATATAGTTGAGATCATACAGTGTGTGTGTGTGTATGTGTATGTGTATATGTGTGTTTATTTACAAGTAATATTTAAGGATGTATTGTATATCTTTCTGTTTTGCTTAACCTTATAGGGATTTTCATTCATTCAAAAAGTGTCAGACATCATGGTAGGTGCTGAGGATATAGTGATAAATAAAAGAGACATATCTCAGTTCTCAGTGAGTTTATCACCATTGACTAGATATATAAATCAGGAATACCAGTTACCATTAACTCATAGTGACCTCATGTGTGTTAGAGTAGAGCTGTGTTCCATAGGATTTCCAATGGGTGATTTTCTGAATGTAGATTGTCAGACCTTTTTTTCAAGGATACTCTGTGTGGACTTGAACTTCCAACCTTTCAGTTAACAGCGGAAGTCTTTAACTAGGACTCTTACTAGATATTTACTGTCTCTTTAATTATTTGTTGTGGCATATTTAGATTTTTCTAGACCTATTATAAGGAGCTCTGGTGATGTGGTGGTTAAGGCATTTGGCTGCTAACCAAAAGGTCAGTGGTTCGAACCCACCAGCTGCTCTGCAGAAGAAAGATGAGGCAATCTGCTTCTGTAAAGATTTATAGCCTTGGAAACTCAATGGGGGTCGCTATGTGTTAGAATTGACTCCATGGCAGTGAGTTTGGTTTGAGTTTGAGACTTATATATAATTCTGTGATGAACATATATTCAGACGTCATTTTCTGTTTGGGGTTATTTCCTTAGGAGAGATTTTCAGGAGTGGAATGAATGGGGAAAAGGGCTAAACTGCTAAACTGATTTCCAAGGAGGCTGAAGCAGTTTACTTGCCCATAACAGGCTTATGAGGGTGCACATATCATTGTATCCTGGCCCCAGTGGAGGTATTACCATTAGGGAAAAGACCTCCACCGTTCACTATCTCATCCACTAAAGACCATCATTCCATTGCCATTGATTTTCTCTGTTGCCTTTTATACAAAGCACTAAAAAGGCTTATCTATCACCATGCCTTCTCCTAGGCCCTTTCATACTCACTAGTCCATCCAAATTGCTCTTTCCAAGGTTACCAGTGACTTACTTGCTCCAAATTCAGTGGCTAATCTTCGGTCTCATTTTGTGTGATCAATCAGTGGCATTTGGCTAGTTTCTCCCTCCTGTCTCTTTGAAACACTTTCTGCACATGGCTTTTTCAACACACCAAATTCATGGCTTCCCTGATGCCTCACTGGCAGTCCCCTTTTGAGGACTTTCCTTATTGACCCAGGACATTGAAGTGTCCCCAGAGAGCCCTGGTCCATCTGCCCTTATTGCTGAGGTGAGTTCATCCAGTCCTCTGGCCTTAAATGCGCCAAATGTGAATCTCCAGTCTGAATTCTTCCTGACCTTCAGGCTTGTGTATCCAAGTGTTACTTTTTCATTTACATGGGCAACCCATAGACCTCCCAGACTTAGCAAGTTCAAGGGAAACTTGTGATTATCTTCCCTTCCTCTTTTTCCCTCCTTTAGTAAAAAAAAACAACTCCATTTTTCCATTCATTTAGTCCACAATCTTTGGGATCAACCTTCTATTCATATCCTGCATGCAATGCATCAGACACACACACACACATTGTATGATCTCAACTATATTTGAAAAACAAAAAACTAATACTATTCACAGAAAAATTAATCTGTAATCTTTATCTTCAAAACTTTTTCAAAATGAAAACTTCTCACCACTTGGTGAGAAGTGCACTGCCACTTGGTCCAAGCCACCATCATCTTCACTGGTATTATTGCAGTAGCCTCTTCTCTGCTCTCCTGGTATTGGCCTTACTCATCTTCAGTCTGTTCTAAATGTGACAGCCAGAGTGACCATGGAAAC